AGGCCAGGCAGGCAGGCAGGCAGGCAGGCCAGGCAGGCAGGCAGGCAGGCAGGCAGGCCAGGCAGGCAGGCAGACAGGCAGGCAGGCAGGCAGGCAGGCCAGGCAGGCAGGCAGGCCAGGCAGGCAGGCCAGGCAGGCAGGCAGGCCAGGCAGGCAGGCAGGCCAGGCAGGCAGGCAGGCAGGCAGGCAGGCCAGGCAGGCAGGCAGGCAGGCAGGCAGGCCAGGCAGGCAGGCAGAGCAGGCAGGCAGGCAGGCCAGGCAGGCAGGCCAGGCAGGCAGGCAGGCCAGGCAGGCAGGCAGGCCAGGCAGGCAGGCCAGGCAGGCAGGCAGGCCAGGCAGGCCAGGCAGGCAGGCCAGGCAGGCAGGCCAGGCAGGCAGATAGGTAGGCAGGCAGGCCAGGCAGGCAGGCCAGGCAGCCAGGAAGGCAGGCAGGCAGGTAGGCAGGGCAGGCCAGGCAGGCAGGCAAGGCAGGCAGGCCAGGCAGGCAGGCAGGCCAGGCAGGCCAGGCAGGCTGGCAGGCAGGCCAGGTAGGTAGGCAGGCAGGCCAGGCAGGCAGATAGGTAGGCAGGCAGGCAGGCAAGGCAGGCAGGCAGGCAGGCCAGGCAGGCAGGCCAGGCAGGCAGGCAGGCCAGGTAGGTAGGCAGGCAGGCTAGGCAGGCAGGCAGATAGGTAGGCAGGCAGGCAGGCAGGCCAGGCAGGCAGGCCAGGCAGGTAGGTAGGTAGGCAGACAGCCAGGCAGGCAGACAGCCAGGTAGGCAGGCAGGCAGCCAGGCAGCCAGGGAGGCAGACAGCCAGGCAGGCAGACAGCCAGGCAGGCCAGGCAGGCAGGCAGCCAGGCAGGCCAGGCAGGCAGCCAGGCAGGCAGGCAGCCAGACAGGCAGGCAGGCAGGCAGGCAGGCCAGGCAGCCCACGTGACGTGCAGACCGACTGGGGCCGGCAGGTCACGTGGTTCTTCTTCAGGCATGGGGCTCTGTTGGTCCAATCCCACCCGTCGGGCTGGAATTGTTCTCAGAATCGGAATCTGTATTTATGCTGGAGGAATCCGATGAGCGATGAAGCTCTTTTTTCACACATGTTCCGTATTCTATTGTCCATTGGGGTGTCACGGTGACGAGGAGATGTTAACTACCTCGCCTGGCATACAGGAGGTCGTGGGTTCGATCCCGACCCTGACGCCTGCTGCATATTTTCGGGTCGCCGATTGCGTAACGCAGTGCGCTAACCACCACACCCTAGCTCCCCACCGGCTATTGGGGCACCCGCGGCCGCCTTTGTCTCCCCCCAGTAGTGATGTTTACACATTTAAGTCGACCTACGGGAGACCGAAAGCCGCTTTAGACATTGGCCACTGTTGTTGGTCGTGAGCGGGAATTGAACTCGGGTCGCCGGGTGAGTGCAGTGCGCGCTAACCACTGCGCCACCGTTCCCCACCACCCCGACAAAACACGCACGGGTGCGATGGTGTACCCAGACACGTGCAAAGACAAACATCCCCCGTACAACCTTGTAACAGACTTTTGGGGCAAGTGCTGTTAGCGAGCACCTACGAAGGCCGGCACGGCACACGAGGGGGTGTGTGTGGCCAGCACCACGCCCGAAAGCCTTTCTCTCCTTCGCGGCGATGTTTTACACACCGCAACAGGTACTCATTTGAGGCTGAGTCGACCTAGGGGAGGCCCGGGACCGGTGTAGCCAATCTTCACTTTGTGTTGGCCGTGAGCGGGAATCAAACTCGGGGGTAGCCCGGGTTCGTAGCGCAGCGTAGCGCTAACCACGACGCTCCCTAATCCCCACGTGCGCACAAACAAAGACGCACAGACACACAAAGACAGACGCAGGCCCCCCCCCCTCCCCCCGCGTTTGTGTTGAACCCATTGTACACGACGACACGAATTGAATTGTGTTTGGGCTCCAAAGGTTCTGTTTACAAACCCATGCGGGCACGTCAATAGAATCACGGGCGCGAGGCAGAGAGAGGGAGGGAGAGAGGGCAAGTGCTAAGACATTGCCGCGCAGAAGCGAACGCATCAGCAGCAAAACTACAATTCGCCTAATGCACGCATTCGACCCTCCAACATTAAATGTAAAATATATATCGATGTATAAATCTGCCGTCAAGCCAGCCCACACGGCATTGCATGGGAGTGAATATTGTCAGCAGCATTTTGGTTGAATACACGGCGGAATGTCTGGACTGGTTTCGACATTCAGTGTCTCATCAGAAGCGTCAGGCTCGCTGACTTGCTTTAATGAACCGATGCTCGTGGATTTATCTTCATATCAGTATCAATTTTTACCATCATCATTATTTCCTGCACGGCCGTCATCATCATCACACTTTCATTGTTTTCCGTATGCTCATCATCACTACCACCACCACCACCATTGTTTTCAGTATGATCGCCATCATCAACACTGCCAGCATCATCATTATATTCACCACCATTACTATCATCATCAGAGGACTGGATTTGGCTGATATACAGCTCTACATGATAAGCCACTTCGTTGAGCTCTCATTTGTGGCCGGGTAATTTCTGAAAATGAGCTACACAGCTCAATGGGCCTTACCTGGTAAAATAAAAAAAACTGTTTTAGTTTACCATCACCACTACAACCACACCCGCACATCGGATTAGCACGGTTGGTTCCGTACGGTGCGAAAGAAGTTCGACATCCATGCATACACACCCACACCGCCATGACAATTAACTCCATTATAATCAGCATCACCATCATCTTCATTAACACCACGATCACCGCCAGCGTCATCATAATTGTCACCATCACCGTAATCTCATTGTCATCGTCAACTTTACCACGATCACAACCTCACCACCATCATCATTATCACCACGATCACCACGACCATCACCATTTTCTTCACAATCACAACCACCACCATCACAACCAACACACCACCATCATCATCACTGTGATCTCATCAAAGACCCGACATCGCCACCATCGCTGCCCTCTTATCTCAAACATTTCCACTCCATCTCTCTGGCTTCTCTCTACGCGCTGTAAAGAAGGGGCATTGTCCGAAACGTCACCTATCATTTACTTGTTTTTGTCGAGGCCACATGTACACACACATGGTGTTATTGACGAATGCGTTCAGTTTTTGTGTGTGTGTGGGGGGGGGGGGCAATCAAGAAGAACGACCAGGCCACGAATAAACAACTTTGAAATGAAATGACTCAGGCGAATGTGACTGCGCGTACCGCGGACTGAAAATAAAACGAACGCACGGGTTCCGGAGAAGCTGCCGTTGAAAGAAAACTGTTCGAAGGTGATAAAGTCAAGAGAGCCTTCGCCTGCTAGGGTCACATCGTGAGAACAAAAACGTGGAACTTGTTTGCGAAAGCAGATTCTGCGAGGCACAATACCCCGGTTGAACGTGCGCGAGGAAGACCGAGGGTGACGATGGGTGGATGACATCAAAGCATGGACGAGGCTCACGCTGGACCAGACAATGCGGATGTCAGAATACATTGGGTGGCGAAGAATTGCCAAGTGTGTGTCTGTGTGTTACTTCCAACTGCGCCGCTGCTACAATCGTGCTCACGACTTACTTCGCGACATCGTCCGCGACAGCCGGCCCGCCATAATTGGCACCGCTAATGATCGCGTCCTTGGGCGAGCATCTCGGAGGAACATTTCGCGAGATGCGAACGAACGAATCTCCCGGGATCCTGCCCGGTCTGTCGCTCAAGGAGGGCATCTCGGCTGGCAGCGTTTAAGAAGGCCCCTGGGGCAGCCGTTGCAGACAGAGAGGGTTGGCGAGGAACCTGCTACTTACGCGCGAGGCCAAACACAGTATTCGCTTTACATTATGAGACCTGCTTTGCTTACCCCCGAGCTCTCATACTCTGATGGTGCGTTGTCTTTGAGTTGTGCGCCTTTTGGCGTCATCTGGTCCAACACCAGGTGGCTCTTTGAAAAGCTGTCTCGGGTGTGGAGCAATCAATTTCAAGGACAGTGCATATCATTATACTGGTAGGAACCTCTGGTTACACCAGCCCACAGGGGATTATTGTGTCCGTCCGTCCGTCGTGCAGGGAGGGGCTGGGTGGGGAGGGAGGGGCTGGTGGGGAAGGGAGGGTGGGGAGGGGCTGGGTGGAGAGGGTAGGGCTGGGTGGGGAGGGGAGGGTGGGGAGGGGCTGGGTGGGGAGGGTGGGGCTGGGTGGGGAGGGTGGGGCTGGGTGTCGAGTCCACGAGTAGCAGCCGAGCCTCTGGCTCGCCAGGCTGTGGCGATGCCAGTAAACGTGCGCTCAATGCTGTCCGTTCCATCCGTACGGGGATGGAGTGTTGTTGCGTCTACCCGGTTTCCTCCAGGGCAAACTTCTTCAGATTAAAAACAAAAACTCAACGCATTAGGACACTCGTGAAAAATAGTCTAACAAGGCAGTGTGGTTCTCCTGGAAAAAATAAACAAATTTGCATTATTATTATTATTATGGGTACGTACGGATCATATGTCGTCGTTTGTGATTGCCCGCCAGAAGGTTTTTATTTTTCTGGAAGTGGTGACGCTACGTTGGTAAGAGGTTATCTCCCTCACCCGCTACACAGGAGGTCGTGTGTTTGATCACGACCCTGACGCCTGCTGCTGTATATTTGAAGTGTGCATGTTTCTCTCCCCGTGGTCGCGTGGATTTTTCTCCGGCTCCTCCCGTTTTTCCCCCCTTCCACGTTCAGAATCAAAATCACGCGTTTAGAGTATTCCATCTCCTGCTATAAATTTCCACGCGATAAGCCACTAAGTTGACCAATCATTTGCGATAGCCAAGTAGCATATTTTAAAAAAAGCTACATGTGTTTATGGACGTGCCGTTTGGTTCCTCAACTGGGGTTGAGAAACGATTCGTCCAGCGCACTCTGTAAATCATTTACCCAAGCCTCGCATCGGGACGCTTCTAGACTCAAACACCGTAACCAATAAGCCCACGCTCATGCGAGCCCAAACGCAGCGCTCTCTCACTCCGGCGCGGACACAAAGACGGACGGACGGACAGCAAGAAGGTGGGTGTCTAGAAGTGGAGTTGCATCGATGGAGAGTTGGTTTGGGGAAGCGGCGATGTAGTGGTTAGCAAGCGCACTGCACTGTGGAACCCCCCTGCCTGCCTCTACCCACTCACCACACTGCAGGTCATCTCACTTCTCTCTCTGCTTCTGGACTCGCACCGCTCCACTGCGGATTTTCCTCCCACCATCATCATCACCACCGTCTTTTGTTCGTCCAAGCACTTACGATGAACACAACTCTCATCTGATACAACGTTGGCTGCGCCGCGCGACCCCAGTTCGATTTCCACTCACGACCCGTAACAGTTGCGAAATATCTGAACCTGTGCCGGTCCCATCTTAATTTAGGAGCTTTCGTGACTGCAGGAATTGTTCTTTGGTTCTTTCGGTTAAGTCACGTCTAAAGATAAAATAATAAATTTAATAATAGCATATTACGACGTTTCGATTGCAACACAAGCAATCATCATCAGTTAGTTAGATTTTTGTTGCTATTTCTATTATGCCTGATGATGATTGCTTGTGTTGCAATCGAAACGTCGTAATATGCTATTATTTAATTTATTATTTTATCTTTAGACGTGACTTAACCGAAAGAACCAAAGAACTGTGCCGGTCCCTCCCGTAGGTCGACTCGGCCATCAGTGAAACTTCAGCACTGGGGAGACAGAGGCGACCGGGCGTGGTGCTGGTCACCCACCCCCATCGGATGCCATTCACGGGTGCTACTCGCTAACAGCACTTGCCTCCAACAGGATGTTGAAGGCTATACGGGGGATCTTTGTCTTGAAAGCGATATGGCGATTTCGGGCAGTCCACCAGCTCGTATCGATGTTCATTGTTAATGGGCTGATTACATTTTGACCTGTGGGCGCCTCAATGTTGAGATTGTAATTGCTTGAAGCAAGTTGGACTCTGCTGATGAGACGCTGAATGGTGAAACCCGGACAGAATTTACCTGCGGTGCTGAGACAATGTTGCCGAAATTATGCACTATCCAGCAAGGGACGTTGGGCTGATGGAATGTGTCAAATACTTGTTTTTTTTTACTTCTCAAAAGGTCAAACGGCCAGCCACAAATAGCGCAGTCAACGTTGTATTAGATGGGAGTTATATTCATCGTAAGAGCTTGAGCGGACAAAAGAACGTGATGATGACCTGCAGTATGGTGAGTGGGTGGGTGAGTGTGTAGTTGTGACCTACAGTGTGGTGAGTAGGTAAGTAAATAGGTGAGTGAGTGGGTGAGTGGACAGCAAGGAGATGAGTGAGTGTGTTGTTGTGACCTGCAGTGTGGTGAGTAAATGGACGAGTGAGTGAGTGGTGAGTGTGTTGTTGTGACCTGCAGTGTGTTGAGCCAGAGGATGAGTGAGTGAGTGGATGAGTGAGTGTGTTGTTGTGACCTGCAGTGTGGTGAGTGAGTGGATGAGTGAGTGAGTGGGTGAATGAGTGTGTTGTTGTGACCTGCAGTGTGGTGAGTGAGTGGACGAGTGAGTTAGTGGATGAGTGAGTGTGTAGTTGTGACCTGCAGTGTGGTGAGTGGTTGGGTGAGTTGAGAAAGATGATGATGATACAGAGGCAATGTAGACTCTGGCTTCTCCACTGCTGGATGAAGGGAGATCAGCGATTTGGGGCCGTGCCTTCCTGACCGCTGTTTGTTAACTCTGGAGGTGGGCGCGAATCTCCGTTATTTGACTGCGAGTCGCTTTGTAAATAACAACGGAGCGAGGCGTGCGTGTGTTTGCGTAACGGGGTGCAGGGTATTTGTTTTGGAATTGGGTACGTGTGTGTGTGTACGTGTCACGGCCAATAGCAGTGATGATTATCTGAACCGCTGGTTGGCCTCCCCTAGGTCGACTCAGCCTCAAATCAGTACCTGGATGCGATGCGTAAAAACATCGCCGCTCGCGAGACAAAGGCGGCCGGGCGTGGTGCTGGCCACCTACCTGCTCGTGTGTCGTTGCGGCCTTCATAGGTGCTCGCAAACAGCACTTGCCCTTAAAGTCTATTAAGGCTTTCATCTTCTTGGTTCTTTCGGTAAAGTCACGTAGAAGGGAAATAATAAAATAATAAACATTTAACATTATAAAATACAATTCTCACGACGTTTCGGCCACAACGCAAGCAGCCGCCGTTAGGTGAAGAACAGGACTGTCGGAAAGACAGCGTCCATTCGGAAACGTCGTGAGAATTGTATTTTATTATGCTTTATTTTTATTATTTTATTATTTCCCTTCTACGTGACTTTACCGAAAGAATCAAGAAGAAGAATCCCTGCAGTCACGAAAGCTTTAAATCGAAATCCATTAAGGCTATACGGGGGATCTTTGTCTCGCGCGTGTGTGCCACGGTGGTACGGCGGGGAGTCCATGCAGTGCATCTGCTAGTCCATCGCAATCAACCCACGGCTACTTTGATCTGCCCCGTGACCTCCCTGCCAGCAGCGAGCCACTGCCAACGCAGCATCACCGTGTGACAACGCATACTCTTAGTTCTTTCGGTAAAGTCACGTAGGTAAAAAAATGAAATTAAAATTAATAAAAAATAAAATAATAAAAAATAATAAATCACGACGTTTCGGAGGCAACACAAGTCTCCGTCATCAGGTGAGACCGTCACAGCCAGATTTGCTGCGTCAAGTGAGGCAGGGGATTCAAGATGCAAACTCTTAAATACAAGTTCAGGAGGAGGAGGAGAGGAGGGAGGAGCTTATCAGAATGTGGTAGCCAATGAATGAAACGTATCGGGAGGGGGGGGGCGGGGCTAAAAGAGGGGACGCATGCTCGTCAGAGTTAATATGCTAAATTCCTCTTGATATCCTCTTGATATGCAAATTACTTTGTCAAGGCGCCCAGCTTATATATATATGCTCCAAGCTCGTGTGCTGTTTCATTCAGACTCTGTCGCCTCGACGGACCTGGTTTTCACCTGAGGACGGCTGCTTGCGTTGTGGCCGAAACGTCGTGAGAATAATTTTATTATGTTTTATTTTTATTATTTTATTACTTCCCTTCTACGTGACTTTACCGAAAGAACAAAGAAGAAGACTCGTGAGAGTTGTCTCAGCGCGGACAACGCACCCCGTAGTCCCAGCGGTCCGCGACTCAGCGGACACAGCCTCCGTCCGTCTTCGAAACGCATTGATCAACAACGGCGTTTTTCAATTAGAGCATCGATCGAACCGCTTGCTTGTCCTTGTGAAAGAAAAAAAAGAAACAGCTCGGCTCAATGGGCCTTAGCCGCTGAAATCAAGTCCCGAGCCTGACCTATTACGTTGCTGGAACTCCCCTGTTAGATGTGACACCTAGGGGAGATACATCGGTACGGTCACTGTCAGTCGAGCAGCAGGTTGCGTGTTGCCTCGCCAGTGTGGAAGAGTAGGCCAAATATCCTCCAGAGAAGCTGGCCTGATCTCCCTCTAGTTCAGTGGTTCTTAACCAGCGCCTGGGAGTGCGAGACATGCATTATTTGTTTTTAAGGTGAATACTCGAAAAGATCAATTAGGCACGGGCAATTGAGTACAATTGAACACGGAGGAGGCTTTCGCGACCAATATCCATGATACAGGGTTTTTTTTTTGGGGGGGGGGGTTAGATCGCGTAAATATATAAATGTGTCGTTAAACCCGCTACTATCCGACACAGCCAATTAGTGAGGTTTGTCACGTAAACAGAACATGCCAATTCGTCACCAGTACAGCAACACCGGTGTGTTGGAGAGCAAAGCGACATTTACAATCTGAGTACGACGTTTCGCCAGTTATTACAACTAGCTTCATCAGGCTAGTTGTAATTATGTGGCTGTCGCCTGATGAAGCTAGTTGTAATTACTGGTGAAACGTCGTACTCAGGTTGTAAATGTTGTGGCTTTGCTCTCCAACACACCGGCGTGCTGTACTAGTGACGAATTGGCATGTTCTGTTTACGTGACAACCCTTACTAGTTGGCTGTGTCGGGTGGTGGCGAGGTTAACGACACATTGAAAATGTACGAGATCTAACCCCAAAAAACCTGTATTTTGAACGTAAGTCACAACTTACTTTGTTTCATCAAACCGATGTGTTTATTAACATCGTAATTTTTTGTTACGATTCAGAACCAAAGGGGTGCAAAGCTGCAGTAAAGGTTAAGAACCACTGCTCTTGTTGATGCCCGGGCTTGCAAATGTTATTTTTTAACACAGTCACAACCCGGTATCCGTCTCCCCCTTTCACATCGTTACGCAAACACGTGGTCACTATACGTCATCGCCTGTATTGCTCGCTAACAGCACTTGCCCCAACAGTCTGTTAAGGTTCTAGATTTGAAGTTTTCGTGACTGCAAGGATCCATACTTTTTGTTTTTTTCGGTAAAGTCACGTAGGTAAAAAACTAAACAAATTAAAATGAAAACAACTAACAAAATACATTAAAATGAAAATAACTAAATTTAGTTGTTTTATCTTCTTGGTTCTTTCGGTAAAGTCACGTATAATGGAAATAATAAAAATAAAACATAATAAAATAATTCTCACGACGTTTCAGCCACAACACAAGCAGCCGTCCTCAGGTGAAGAACAGGTCTGAAGAACAGGTCTGTCGAGAAAACAGAGTCATTTCAGACTCTGTCTTCTCGACAGACCTGTTCTTCACCTGAGGACGGCTGCTTGAGTTGTGGCCGAAACGTCGTGAGAATGATTTTATTATTATTTGGTTCTTTCGGTTAAGTCACGTCTAAAGATAAAATAATAAATTAAATTAAATAATAGCATACGACGTTTCGATTGCAACACAAGCAATCATCATCAGGTATAATGACATAGCGACATAAAATCTAACCAGAAAACTATAGACAGACATATTAGCAGACAGATATCACCAAGATACATAGAGAGAGCAACACAGGTAACAGAGAGGGGTGATCGTCTGAGTGGGGTGGCCTTAAATAGACAGAGGGGGGCGGAGGCAGAGAGAGGGAGGGGGGTTCGAGAAAAAATTAGCAAATCAATGAATGGACAACAAACGTGGTGCTGCAAGTGCGATGACACGGCAAGCAAGCCTGAAAATCAGGAGAAGGACACACTAAAATAAAATAACCTAGTAAAATATCGAAATGTAATGTAATACAACACAGAGGGTCGGTCAACACACAATTAACGCATAGCCTGGTTGATTACGTATTTCAAAGATTGCTAAGTTAGAATTTAAGTGTGAACATTCCAAAGAGAGGACACAGGCAGAGAGAATAAGTAGCCAGGTTAGATTTTATGTCGCTATTTCATTATACCTGATGATGATTGCTTGTGTTGCAATCGAAACGTCGTATGCTATTATTTAATTTAATTTATTATTTTATCTTTAGACGTGACTTAACCGAAAGAACCAAATAATAATTCCTGCAGTCACGAAAGTTCTAAAATTAAGATTGATTTTATTATGTTTTATTTTTATTATTTCCATTCTACGTGACTTTACCGAAAGAACCAAGAAGATGAATCCCTGCAGTCACGAAAGCTTAAAATCGAAATTTAGTTGTTTTAAATAAATAAAAATTAAAACAACTAAATTTAGTTTTTTCATTAAAAATATTTTTTTACCTACGTGACTTTACCGAAAAAACTAAAAGTCTGCCAAGGCTATACAGGGAGGGGGGGTTGGGGATCTTTGCCTTTATCTTCATTTGTGACCGTCAATCAGTGGCAGACGGCGGTTGACGTTCACTGCCCCATCGAAGGCGTTTGACAAAGTCTTAATTCGTACAGGGAAACGTTCACGATCACAATCATCGGAAGATTAATAACACTGGTCAACACACTTTTTCTGGCATGAGGTATTCCAACGGTTCTAATGTAATTTTGGGGTGCTGTTTCCAAATCTGGTATCAGTTTTTGTCTATCACATCAGTTTTTTGAGATATCAAATATTGCATTTTTCAATAAAAACTGCAGAAGAAAAATATTAAATAAATGTGGATATCTACATAAAATGATATTATAAACACACTATCCTAAAAATACAGCACCATATTTTAACACTAAAGCAGTCACTGACTCGCAACAACTTGCAATCATAAGTGACGGAGTTAATTTCGGGTGAAATCAATTAAAATGGGGTATGCCGATAGCATTAAAATGAGATGTGATAGAGCAAATCTGAGATCAGATTTGGAATCGAAAATTGAAAAAGTCCAGGCCAGAATTTTTTTTTTTTGTTGACCAGTGTAATCCGATGAGCCGCAAATGCCCTCATTCCGCAACGTTTCCCCTACGCCTGTCCCATCGAGCATCTCCACCGCAACGCGCAAGGCTTGCGTCCTCCGCCCTGCAGGCATCCGCGATGGAGGCGTCGGGAACGACCTCGTCGACCGTCGGCACACGAGCGCCGACGCAGAACCCTCGGCGCCTGCCCCGCTCGGACGGAGGAGCGTCCCTCCCCGGCAGCGGGGCCCGGTCCCCCCAGGGAGCCTTGCGGACCCCGTGTCGCGGCACCAAGGGCACCCACGACGGCTCCGTGCAGGCCGGCAGACTCCGGGAGAGGCTCCTGCAGAGCCGAGCGGAGAAGAGGTAAAGATACAAATTTCGATTTAAAGCTTTCGTGACTGCAGGGATTCATCTAATCGTCCGATTACTAATTCAAGTCCATTTACTTGATAATTTCTCCAGCCCCACACGTCCATGCACGCCGCAAACCCTCCCCTCTATCCCCTGTGAACTCCTACAGCCAAACTCCCCCCCTCTTCCCGTACCTATATAAAGCCACAACAGCAGATAATATTTCTCACCTGAAGACGGATGCTTGTGTTGCGACCGTAACGTCGTGTTTTCTTTTATTATTTTTACTATCTACGTGACTTTACCGAAAGAACCCCAGAGAGTAAAGAGGTAAGCGGGTGGAGCGGACCAGACGTCCGTTAGGTGTCAGCTACACTCGTCTGGTACGCACGATGAAGTCGTGGGTGCTATCCCGACCCTGACACGTGTACTTTTTAAATCCTTTATATTAAGTTCACTTGCTTGCCTGCTTGCTTGCGCGCTTACGACCGTGCAAATCTTTCGGTCGCTTTTTAACCCACTTCCCGTGATCCAATCGAGCCGACATTTTCCACACAGACTCGTTGTGCGTGACAATTAATTTTCGTGAAATTTTTTCCCAAAATGTTACACTTTTTAGGAAAAAAAAATGATATTTAATTAACAATTGCTAAATGGTGGCAGACAATCATCTGACCCATAGGTGGCAGCCATCTCAAGCCAGAGGACGAGAGGACTCTAGCCGCCACGCATATAAAGGATTTATAGTGAAAAACTTTGTTTTTACGGGTTAATTTTTTAGGAGTTTGCGTGTCTCTCTCTCACTCGCTCTCCCCGTGGTCGCGTGGATTTTTCTCCGGGTCCCTCTGGTTTTTCCCTCCACGTTTGAAATCCCACGCATATAAAGGATTTATAGTGAAAAGCTTTGTTTTTACGGGTTAATTTTTTGGAGTCTGCGTGTCTCTCTCACTCTCTCTCACTCTCCCCGTGATAGCGTGGATTTTTCTCCCGGTCCCTCTGGTTTTTCCCTCCACGTTTGAAATCAACGTCACTCGTTTCGAGGTATTCGGCTGCTTCTATAAATCTCCACGCGATGATAAGCCACTTCGCTGGGCTATCATTTGCGGCCAGGTCGCTTCTGAAAAAGAACTACATAGCTCAGTGAGCCTTACCTGGTAAAATAATATACACATTTTTTTATTTTTTATTTATTTTACTTTTATTAATTTACATTTTTTACCTACGTGACTTTACCGAAAAATCCTAAGAATATGAATCCTTGCAGTCACGAAAGCTTCAAATCTAGAAATAATATAATAGTTTACAAACTTGATTTGAAGCTTTCGTGACTGCAGGAATTACTCTTTGGTTCTTCCGGTAAAGTCACGTAGAAAGAAAATAAATTAATAGAATACGACGTTTCGATTGCAACACAAGCAACCGTCATCAGGTAGAACTAAATTTGAGAGAGAGACAAAACACAGACACGGAGACACACAGACAGACACACACGCAGAGAGAGACAACACAGAGACACACAGAGAGACACACACAACATAGACACACAGAGACCCAATGCCTGTGTCGAGGCCTTAAATAGAGAAAGAGGGGTGGGGGGGGGGCAGAGAGAGAGGTGGGTCTATTTTATTTATTTTCTTTCTACGTGACTTTACCGAAAGAACCAAAGAGTAAAATAGTTTTTACTTTAATTAGTTAGAGAGCCAGTGGAAAACCACCCGTGCCGTGCTGGCCCCGTGCCGGCACAGGTCAGATGCCCAAGTGGGAATTGATCAAATGTCGAGTAAATTCGTCTGAAAAAAAGTTCACCGATAGCATCAGTCCACCCACGCGCATCCTCCCTCGCTGTTGGATATGATCCGTCTAAAGACACGAACCTGCACGGCTCTCACTTCGAGAGGAAGGTATCACCGTGTCGGCCTTGTTTGGATGCCGCCAGCTGGTCGATAGGATTAAGTGGGGTCAAGAAGCCCTGTTAGCCCGAGCGTGGACAGCGCTTTGGTTGTCACCCGTGCCAAGCACCACCCTGCTTAGTTTTCACGAGATCTGCCACGTTCAGGGTGATCTTGTCACAGTCCACTTCCCATCGAGGGGTTTGTTTTTTAAGAGCAAAAAGGGGAGCTCTTGAAAGGCGCCTCGTGCTCTCCCTACGATCCACTCTGCGACACGCACCAGACATCCGCTTCTGAAAGGTCCATTTGTGACCAAATCTCCGCAGTGGAGGCCAGTGTTTCGATTTAAAGCTTTCGTGACTGCAGGGATTCATCTTCTTGGTTCTTTCGGTAAAGTCACGTAGAAGGGAAATAATAAAATAATAAAAATAATTAAAATAAAACATAATAAAATAATTCTCACGACGTTTCGGCCACAACGCAAGCAGCCGTCTTCAGGTGGAGAACAGGTCTGTCAAGTAGACAGAGTCTGAATGGCACGCTGCTGGCTTGGAGCGACTATTTATGCTGTGATGGAGGGGCGAAGAGCGTCTTGACAAAATAATTTGCATATCATATTATATTATTATATAATATTACAAAATTCTTTAATTATATTTTTTATTATGTTTTATTTTTATTATTTTATTATTTCCCTTCTACGTGACTTTACCGAAAGAACCAAGATGAGGCCAGTGTTGACAAGGTGAGCTGGCTGAGCCGTCGCTGGGCTGCTTTGTCGCTGAGAAGGCGAGTGTGGGATACATTCAGGTACTCTATGGGGAATTGCATTTGTGTGTGTGCCTGTGCCGAGTGGTGAGCAGTGGCGTAGTGACCTGAGTTCGATTGCTGGGCCAACATGGGTGACACATATCTGGACCTGTCCTGGGCTTTCACTAGGTCGACTCAGCCTGAAATTAGTACTTGGTGCGGTGTGTAAAAACATCGCCGCCAGGGAGACAAATGCGGCCGGGCGTGGTTCTGTGCCGGTCTTCATAGGTGCTCCACTAACATCACTTGCCCCAACAGTCTGTTAGAGGCTACACGGGGGGGGGGGGGGGGTCTTTGTGAGTGCCTGTGAGTCGGTATCAGTGTGTGTCTCTGTATTTGTTTTGCCAGTTTAGCATGTAGGCTTTCGCGACCAATATCATCCATAATAGAGGTTTTTTTGGGTTAGATCGCGTAATATATATAAATGTGTCGTTAAACCCGGCACCACCCGACACAGCCAACTAGTAAGGGTTGTCACGTAAACAGAACATCCCAATTCGTCACTAGTACAGCACACGGGTTTGTTGGAGAGCCAAGCAACATCATTTAAAATCTAAGTACGACGTTGTTTTGTTTTGTTTGTTTAGTGTGTGTGTGTACAAGTCCGTGTGTGTACTTGTGTCTGTGTGTGTATGCCAGTGTGTGTCTGTGTGCCGGTGTTATAGGTGCTACTCGCTAACAGCACTTGCCTCCAACAGTCTGTTGAGGCTATACGGGGGTTCTTTGTCGTTGTCTTTTGTCGGTGTCATTGTGTCCAAGCCAACTTGCGTGTATGTTGAGCGGTCTGTATTTGTTGTTGTATGTGTGTGTGTATGTGAATATTTTCCCAAAGGTCAATTCGTGCTTTTCATACGTTTAATTCGCTTTTCAAAATGTATTCATGAGGTTGAAGATATAATTTCAATAGAATTGTGGCAGGGGCGCATCTGCTAAAAATTTGAATGTCAAAACGTTGTGTTGTTACCCCCACACATACCCAACACACGCATACAACACACACAACACACATGTGTTACATAATCACCATTTATGAGCGGCCAAACCCTATTGAATTACGCTATTATCGAGTCAAGGTGCTACGCCCATTCATATTGCAAGGTCAAGGCGCAGCCCTGCAATTGCTTGCTCATGCCCCTGCGTGCTCTCTCTCTCTCTAAGAGAGCGAGCCTCTCCTGGAGTCTTAGAGGATACGTATGCACTTTGGCCTACTCTTCCACGACATGGGAGTTACCACCACGTGAGCCTTGCGTATAGATTATTTAGATTATTTGGCTGCTACGCATCTCCACATGACAAGCCACATCGTTGAGCTATAATTATTTATGACCAGGTCGCTTCTGAAAAAGAAGGTAATAGCTCAGGAGGTTTTATCTGGTGAGATAAAAACAAAGTTTAATTTATTTCTTTATATGCTAAGTAACTTATATTCTTGGTTCTTTCGGTAAAGTCACGTAGAAGGGAAATAAGAAAATAAGAAAAATGTAAAACATTATTTTATTGTTTCCCTTCTACGTGACTTTACCGAAAAAACCTAAGAATATGAATCTTTGCAGTCACGAAAGCTTCAAATCTAGAATCAACGACCACGTGGTCCGCACTGTTTACATTTGGGCAAGTCCATTGGCCTTGACGAGAGAGGGGGGGGGGTGTATTCTACAGTGAACAGTCACTACCACCTTAATCACACGCTCATTGCATTCACCCAAACACATGTATACAATTATCAATACATCTAAATAAGTGTAACGTCGTGGCAGTACTTAAATCGTAAGAGAATAGTGGCGTTTATATAATAATTATTAAAGACAACCCCCCGCCAAATACAGTCAAGATGGATTGCTCCATTTCCGTCCCTAGCAACGGCGTGGAGCTGTTGCTAGGGGCGCCGTGCGGCTTCCGTGTACGCTTGAAGGCAAAGCAACAAAAATGTCTAAAACTCCCAGAAAGAAAGAACTCTCGGCAAAAGGGAATGCGCCCAGCCTTGGGCAACCTTCCAACAACAAGGAGTGAGTAGCTATCACCCCCCCTCCACCATCACCACCCACCACCTATGCACGCTCACCAACACACACACACACCGATACAAACTTCCGCGAATTTCTCACGACATATTCGTATCGTCTTAACATCGCCATGATGAGCCACGGGCAATCCACTGCTGGATGATGGCAGGGATCGTTTTTGTTTATTATCCACACTTAGCACCTCCCGAAGAAGAGGCTTGATTCCACGGCTGCACCATCATCACCATCATCACCAACATCATCACCACCATCAGCACCCCATCACATTCTCTCGTCCGTGCACCATCAT